ACTTTCTTGCACTGCTCCCCTTGTTCTTCTGCTGCACACCTTTAGTGTTTTGCCTCAGTGTGGTGGGGTCAGCTCGGGTGCAGTTCCCACAATGTGTCTCCATTGTTGTCCCCTGTAGGGCTATGGGTCAGCGAGGGATCTTGTATCTCATAGTGGAGCCGGCCATATGGTCCTCTCTGTGGATTGGCTGCTCTGAGCGGGGATATAGGCCTCCAGGTTTGGTGGGCCAGGATGTGCTCCACTCTCTCTTCCTCCCTCTTCATTTGCTCCCGCATGCTCTGATTAGACATGTCCCTCTCCCTGAGCTGTAGTTTCAGTGCTGACCTCTGAAGTGAATTCTTCTGGGGGGAGGGGAGGCTGTCCACGTAGTTGGGATTGGAGCCAAAATGGAATCTTTACAGTCTGCTTTCTCTCCTTGTGAATAATTTTTATATTTTTCCTAGCTCCACAAATGCATATATGCTGATATATAGACTGAAAGACCCAGCAAGAAATGCAAGTAGGTTAACACATTGTTCTTTGATTTTAATGTTTGTAATCTCATTTCTTATGCCAAGTTTTACAAGCCCATATAACCCACTTTTAAATGATAGGACAAATTAAGCCTTTTTAAAGACTTTTATGAAATAATTCCTGTTCAGTAGTAAAAAGATTTGGAAAGTAGTTGTTAAAATTCTTTTTTAATACACTGAGCAGTAAATAACGTTTACTCTGCGCTAAATAAACTCGATGGTTATTTTCAGTGAGATTGTATTAGATGCACTTTGGTACAGCGAGGCTGTGTCCAGACCTGTGGCAGTCGTAGCTCACCAGATGTGTGTCTAAGATGAGGCGAGTCAGTTTTTCTCAGTCCTGCTCTTCTCATCTATACGGTGGGAATAATAATAATAATGCTTTATAGGTTTCTGAGAAAAGATTAAATTAAATGACACTTTAAGCATTTAGCACAAAGTCTGGTATATTATAGTAATTCACAGTTAGTATTTAAAAGTACAAGCATTTTGGTATTATTATTTAAATGTTTGGATGAGGACCCTTTGTAAGTCAGAGGACCCTCTGACTTACCACTTTGAGTTAAATATCTCTGCCTATTTGCTTAGAAAGCAAATAAAGTTTTATGAATATAGCATCCTTTTCTTCTTACACTATAATTTTATTAAGAATCTAAGAAATTATTGTGTTTAGTTGTGTGGCTTTATTATCTATTATTTTTATTGCTTTAAACAATTATAGCCCCTCATTTTCCTTGCTAAACTCTCTGACTCAAGCAGGATTGCAAATAGATTTGGGAGGGATGTGAGCCTTGTGGATATACATATAAACACATAACCAGAGTGGCATTTTTATTCACATTCCTTTTGTGGTTTTTATCAAAGTAATAGAATCACTGTCTTTGATCTCATCGTTTGTTCTGCTTAAAATTTACCGTTGCGGTGAGTAAATGTATTTATGGCATTACATTGCTTTTGTGCATTGTAAGAAAATTGTATTCCCAAAGAGTGGTTTTTCCCAATTAACAGTTACCTGGAAGCTGAGCCAAGTACACTTGTATGTGTAGCACTCGGCCTTCCAGAGTGCTGGAACACAGGGCTTTATACCTCCACTCTCAGTTTAGTTTTGTGATAAAGCACCAGAGGGCGCTATATGATACAGAATATTTTATTTCAAAGAATTTATTTCTGTGACTTTCCATAGAGGTGTGATATTTGTGATATAAATCTTCCTCTTGCCTAATAAATATTGGCTTTATTAAATGCTCATGACTTTATACTGTCTCTGGGCATCCTCAAACTATGGCCCACCGAGGACATTTATCCGGCCTGCCAGGTGTTTTTGCCCCATTTTGTTTTTTTACTTCAAAATAAGATATGTGCAGTGTGCATAGGAATTTGTTCATAGTTTTGTTTTGTTTTTAACTATAGTCCAGCCCCCCAACGGGTCTGAGGGACAATGAACTGGCCCCGTTTAAAAAATTTGAGGAGCCCTGGTCTATAGTTTCACTTATATATGAAGTGGTGGTGACTAAGCAAACTAGTGAAAACTACATACATATGGGGGGGGGGTGAGATCAGTTTGTGTATGTGCCGTTTTTGCTGTCACTGGTTGTTTTAAAAGTTGTCTCAGAACGATCGTCACTTTTTCTTTGTTTAAATGAATCCTGATGTTCTGTAGAGTGGAGATGCAACCTGAAAAGACTGTGGTTTTCTTGGGGACTTGGCCAACTTCATGCTGAAGGCAGCTGAAAGGGTTCTTGAAAACACAGCCCATATTATAGTATAGTGGATAAAAACAAACATTGTAAAATTGCATCTCCTGCAGAAACTGCAGCAAGAGTATTATTGATTCTTTAAAAATTATTCCAGTCCAGGTAATGTGTACAGAAATTAGGTAACCTGACTAGTCACACAATGAAATGATGATGGCCGAATTGGAAGTCAGAAATTTTAATCTACATACTAGAAATATTCTGGATCCAAGAGCCATTTCAGATTAATACATAATTATAAAAATATGAGACCTGAGAAAAGCACTCCCTGCCTCTTGAGAGGATGATGTGGCTGCGCTACGTTTTGGTGAGAACTGCGATAGAAGTGTAGACGTGGGAGCACAGTGGAAGGGAATGAATAAAGGGAGCTCAGTGTCATCCACACTGTTGTCTTAGTTCTCTCATGCTGCTTTAACACATGCTACAAACGGATGGTTTTACCAAATCTTATTTTCTCCCAGTTTAGGGGTCTAGAAGTCGGAATTCAGGGTGTCAGCTCTAAGGGAAAGCTTTCTCGGTTGGTTTAGGAGAAAGGTCTTTGTCTCTTCTGAGCATCTGTTCCCACGCAGTCTTCATGTGGCTTTGGCATCTCTCTTCCCTCATCTCTGCTTCCTAGCTTGCTTATTTAAGTTTTCTACTTCAAAAGAGATGGACTCAGATAATCCTTACCTTATTAACATAATTTAGACAACCCATTCCCAAAGGCATAGAGTTGAGGATGTATAAAACATTCTGGGGGCAAACAAATCTCTCCATTATATTGTCTTACCCTGTTCTTATTAATAGAATTTTTAGAAGTGGATGAATACCCAGAACATATTAAAAATCTGGTGCAAAAAGAGAGAGAGTTGGAAGAACAAGAAAAGAGGCAACGCGAAATTGAGCGCAATACATGCAAGGTTAGATTCCATAATTTTACTCTTAATGAAGACGGGCTATTGAAGAATGCTTAAGTATAATTTTCATAACTAAACCTATTGGATTAATTCTGTGGGCAGTTATATTCTCATGATCATTAAGCAGCGTAGCAACAATGTTAACTACGGTAAGACTTTAGTTTATTCATGAAAACCAGGAACCTGTAATGATGTAGTTGGTGCTGGTGAGGGTTCAGTGAGGTGGGCATTCTCATATTCTCCTCCTAGAAGAACATTGTGGTAAAACCTTCCTGATAGAAATTGTATTTGTTAAAAGCCATAGATTTGTATTCTCTTATATGATTCATGTTATATAAATAATTACCTCATGAAATAATCACAGATAATATTATGATTTGGGCCCCAGGGATATTCATCACAATATTTTCCAAACTGGGAGGTAAAATGAAAAACAACCTTAATGTGCATCAGCAGTGGGGTGACTACATAAATCAAGATTATATTCATATAAAGAAACCGTTTTTAAAGTTAATACTTTTGCTGTTTTTATGGTCTGAAGCATATTCACTACCAGTTACTAATTAGAAAACAGCCATGAAAGACAATGAGTTTTTGCTGTCAAATGCATAATATTGTTGTTGTAAAAATGTATAATATTTTGGAGGGGGGTTGTATAATATTTTGATAATCAGAAAATAAAATTTTAGCTACTAAGGAATTAAAAGTTGACTCTTGACCTGCTGTTATTGATACTATTTTACATTTTCTAGATAAAACTATTCTGTTTGCATCCTGTGAAACAAGTAATGATGGAAAATAAATTGGAGGTTCATAAGGATAAGACCTTAAAAGAAGCAGTAGAAATGGCTTATAAGGTATGTTTAGTTGCACTGTTAGCATTTAGATATTGCTCTCTCAGATGAAAGTATTCAGACTCAACTAGTTGATAGTGATGAGATAAGCACTTACAGTAACTTTGATAGCTTTCTGACTTATCTATCGTTTAAAAGATAGAGTTTATGCCTCACCCTGGACACATACTCAATTGTGTTTGAGAATATTATACTTTGAAAGGCAGTAAAACTTTCTAGAACTAGAACTAGGAACAATTGTTTGTTCTTTCCATTCCGTTAGCAAATATTTATAGAGTGATTATTACATCAGGCATTAGAGATTAAAGAGTGAGCAAGACATAGTCACTAACTAACCTCATGGCACTTATTAGTCCATTTATAAAATGGACATAAAATATTTAAACACCAAAATTTGCAGTTATTGTTTAGGTGTTGTATAAAGTCACCCCGTAGAATGCTGGGATAACGTATTTTGAGACTTGAAACATGAAAAGACACTGTGCAAAAGCTGAGGAAGAGCCTCCCAGATAAAGAGGACAGGGTGTGAAGCTCTTGAGATGAGGAGTGGGTGCATGCTCAAAGGAGTGGAAAGGGGGAGCTTCATGTGCATGAGGGAGTCCATTTTTAAAGATCCCTCATGTATTTTAAGCTCTCTCATACATTGTTCTGCTTGCAGGTAGAGTGGCTTAAGAATCAATTGGAAGCTCTGTAGAAATAGAAGACATTTGCTTTTAGTTTGAAGACTATTGAAAAGTCATTAGTGGTTTGAAAGGCACATAGGAAGGGCAGTAATCCCTAACAGAATCTAAAAGTCATCTCTAGTACTTGACCCTTTTTTTGCACTTTTTATGTAAACATTAACATTTGACTGAAATTAAAAGTAATCACCTAGAGAAAAAAACTACACCTGCATTTATTTCATGTACAATTATATAGGGAAACAGTGAAGCGAATTAGAAATAACACACAAGATAGTTGACATTGTTCTTCCAATGTAGCCTAAAACAACCTGTACCAGAAGCATATTTTTTTTTCTTTTTTTTTTTTTTAATATATATATATATTTTTTTTTTTTAACATTTTATTAGGGGCTCATACAACTGTTATCCCAATCCATACACACATCAATTGTGTAAAGCGCATTTGTACATCGTTTCTCAAAACATTTTCTCTCCATTTAAACCCCCGACATTAGGTCCTCATTTTTCCCCTCCCTCCCCGCTCCCCCCTCCCGCATGAGCCCTTGATAGTTTATAAATTGGTATTTTGTCATATCTTGCCCTGTCCGACGTCTCCCTTCACCCACTTTTCGGTTGTCTGTCTCCCAGGGAGGAGGTCACACACAGTTCCATGTAATTGGTTCCCTCTTTCCTACCCACTCTCCCTTTACCCTCCCTGTTTTGCCACTCACACCACTGGTCCTATAGGGCTCATCCGTCCTGGATTCCCTGTATTTTCAGTTCCTATCTGTACCAGTGTACCTCCTCTGGTCTAGCCAGACTTGCTAGATCGAATTCGAGTCATAGTAGTGGGAGCGGGGAGGAAACCTTTAGGAACTAGAGGAAAGTTGTATTTCTCATCATTGTTACATCGCACCCTGACTGGCTCATCTCCTCCCCGAGACCCCTCTGCAAGGGGATCTCCAGTGGCCTACTAATGGGCTTTGGATCTCCACTCCGCACTCCCCCCATCATTCACTATGGTAAGATTTTTTGTTCTGATGATGCCTTACACCTGATCCCTTCGACACCTCGTGGCAGAAGCATATTTTTACTTAAAGAAATATTTTCTTCAGGTGAGTCAGAATTTCTGGACCTGAGCCAAGATATAGGCATTTGAAACACTAGGTTGAGAAATGCTTGTATTATATACTGGTCCTGCGTAGGACTTACCGATATTGAAAATTTACATTTAATTGTTTCTTTTCATTAAATGTCGCTGACCCTCATCAGACTATAAACACTGTTCTGGTCTTGCTCACCATTACACCTCTAGTACTTCGTGTCATGCCTGGTACACAGAAGAATCAAAATTGCCAGGGTATATGAATAAATGAACAAATTCTGGGTTTCTCTCATTATAGCCCCCCCCCCCCACCCCACCCCCCCAGCCGGTCCTTTAAACTTACTAGAGGCCTGCGAGCATCATCCTAACAATATAGTGAAACTAATTCAGTTAAAATGGAGAAAACATCTAAATAACAAAACTTCTGTACTCAGTGGAGTATATCAGTATAACAGTAAAGTTCATATCCCACGAATTTTTAATGCTAGAAGACAAAAGTGATCTTGGAACTAGAACGCCAAATTCCACAAATACAGAGTTTAAAAACAGAAAAGGGAAACAACCAGATGAGCCCCTTCTCTGCGAGGGGAAGAGGACAATCACTGGGGACATACGCAGGCTCCTGAGTTTTTCTGTACAATCATCATTGCAAACAGAGACTGCTGTGTTTCTCTAAGGAGTTCCATTTCCCACTTGAGATGTGTATCAGGTACTAATGCTATGGGCTCGGAGAAAGTTTATGATAGGAGCTCCTGCACCTTGTAGGTATAGGAAGTCACTATCAAAGGACACGGCCTCTCAAAAGTGGGGTAGCAATTGAGAGACACCAGAAAGTCTGACTTTGGTATTGACTCTAAAGTGACCATTGTACTTAGGAAGATAGTTACTAGGTATACAAGTGCACAGCAGGTCTAATCCATATTGGAGTAAGAAAACAAAAGATGTGTATTCTAGATGGTTGTTTTACCCTGATGTTGACACTGTAGTAGTTATAGAACAATAGCTTGTAATACATTGCTTTTCGAGTCCATTTAAAGCAGGGTTGAGGAACCTTTCTTCTGCCAAGGGTCATTTGGATATTTAGAACATCATTTGCAGGCCATACAAAATTATCAACAATGTATGTTAGCCTACTATATTTGCTCAAACACGTAATTAAGCTCACCTCTAATGTAATGGCTAGAACTGCTTCCCCTTGGTAAGGCATGTGAGGTTAGCTGGGATTGATGATTTATTGGACCTTACATGGCTATGGGTCAGACACTCTCCAGCCTCGATTTAAACTTTAGACTCGACAGAGGCTAAAAACAAATTTGGAATGTTAGCTTTTTGAAAGACTTTAATGACTTTGAAACATGTTAGAGCATCATTATATGATTTGGGGATAAAGAACTATGGTCATTTAAAAATAGCATGTAAGTCATGTCTTTGATGTCCATGACTTTGAGCTTTGATCAGACCTATAGATAGTTAGACAACAGACTAGACTTACTATGTTTTTTGCATTTTGCTGGGGAATTTCTTTTAGATGATGGATTTAGACGAGATCCTACCTGTGGATTGCTGTCGTCTTGTTAAGTATGATGAGTTTCATGATTATCTAGAAAGATCATATGAAGGAGAAGAAGATACGCCCATGGGACTTCTACTCGGTGGAGTCAAGTCAACATACATGTTTGATCTGCTATTGGAGACAAGAAAGCCTGATCAGGTTTTCCAGTCTTACAAACCTGGAGGTGAGGAATTTTATGATTTTTTAGTTGTGTTGAATATAAAACTTTCATAAGACAGTTTTTCATTAGTTTAAACTTGGAAAAATTAGGAATTAGTCGTCAACACGTTTGAAATTAGGTTTAAAAAAATGAAATTGTTTAGACTACTTGCAAAGAGTTCTACACTCAGCATTAAAAAAAAGGACAAAGTAACACAACTTTGGGATTAGTCTTCAAGTAGGAGTGCCTTGCTCCCTTTAATATCTGTTTCATGGGCTCTAATTATATATATTTATTTCGTTTTGCCTTTTTCTATATTTTAGAACTTTGGATGAATATATTTAATATGTGAGCCTTGTAGTAGTTTAATTTTTACAAGGAAAAAACAATTAAAAAATTATTTTAGTTCTTGTTGAGAATATGCACAGCAGTGCAACAGTTTGTATATACACCATGTAGTGACATTGGACATTTCATTCTGACCCTTCGGTGAGTTAGTCTTCCCTCGTTAACCTGAACTTACCGCACCCTGGTCTTTAAAGTGGCTCTTGTTACTTTGATGCCATAAGGTTGCTGTTGTTAGGTGCTGTCTAGTTGGTTTGACTACTAGCACCCAACCTACAACAGACTGACACACAGCCTGGTCCTGCATAATCTATGCCCATCGTTGCAGTCACTGTCGGTCAGGCCAGCTTGTTGAGACTCTTTCTCTTTTTTGGCTGTCTCTTTACTTTGTTAAGTATGCCATCGTTTTCCAGTGACTGCTCTCTCAATAACTTGTCCAAAGTACATGAGTGAAGTCTCACCGTCCTTGCTTCTAAGAAGGAGCCTTCTGGCTATATACATCTTCCAAGACAGATTTGTTTATTCTTTTGGCAGTCCATGTTACTTGGACAGCATCATAATTCAAATGCATGGACAATTTTTCAGTCTGTCTTATTCAGTGTCCAACTCTCACATGCATATGAGGAGACTGAACATCCCCTCGCAAAAGGGTCACAAGGAACGAACAAGACAGCCAGGGTGCAGCACATCACTGACCGAATACACAACATTCCTCTCCTCTTTAATGCTTACTCCTCTCCGCTGTCATGACCCCAGCGCCTCCTTACCAATCCAGTTAGACCGGAGCTTGTACACGGGTACAGATAAGAGCTCTTGGCACACGGAAACCAGGACAGATAAACCCCTCAGGAACAGAAATGTGAGGAGCAATACCGTGAGGGGAAGGGGAAGGTGGGGGAAGAAACGGGGAACCAACTATAATGATCGACGTATTTTACCACTCCCATCCCCAACCTGGGAGACGATGAACAGAAACATAGGTGAAAGGAGACAGTGGATGGTGTAAAATATGAAAATAATAATAATCTATAGTTTATCGGGGTCTACAAGGGTGGGAGGGTAAGAGAGGGAGAGGGTAAAAAGCAGCTGATACCAAGGGCTCATGCAGAAAGAAAATGTTTTGAAAATTATGATGGCAACATATGTACACATGTACTAGGTACAATTGATGTATGGATTGCTGTAAGGGCCCCCAATAAAACGATTTAGTCATTAAAAAAAGGAAAAGAACATACTGTGGCACATCTTACTTGTCAAAAGTAAACTCCTGGCATTTCAGCACTAATGAGGTCTTGTGCAGCAGACTTAATGCCGGCATTGTTTGCTCTCTTCACTGCTGTTCCATAAGCATTGGTTGTGGATCTGGCTTGGAGCCCATAAAGAGATTTTTACAAGAGCATAATGCTTGAGACACAGTTTTTGCTAGTTAAACTAAACTATTATTTATTTTTAAGAAATATTGAGGGTATATTTTTGGTTTACAGGTTCATCACACAGCAATCGTTTCATAACTCCAGGAAGTCTAGATTCCATGATAATTTGAATTTCTTTTCTGTATTTTTCCTGTGACCAGAATTCTTTTCTAGGCTCTTTGATCAAATTGTTCAGTAATAGTAGCTAGGTACCATCCATTTTTTTCTGGTCTCATGGCAAAGGAGGCAATTGTTCATGATCCAGTAAGCCAAAGATCTCCATATCCTCCCTTTATTCTTGGCTCTCCTTTGGTTGCTCCACGTTAAGCACCAAAAGCCAAACTTAACTGCCACTGAGTTGATGCCAACTGAGTTGATGCCAACTCCGAGTGACCCTATAGAACAAGGTAGAACTGCCCATGAGTTTCTAAGACTAGAACTGTTCACGGAAGTATAGAAATAAATAAGATTTTTGCCATTTACTAGAAATATTTAGGAATCTATTGCTCATGTGAAGGATTTCGTTTCATAACCCCCAATTGTGTTTTTTGCCTTCCAATGTGACAGAAGTGATGGTGAAAGTTCATGTTGTTGACCTAAAGACCGAATCGGTAGCAGTTCCTGTAACTGTTCGAGCTTACTTAAATCAGACAATTACAGAATTCAAACAACTTATTTCAAAGGTAAGTTTTAAAATTGGTCAGTAAATAATATTGAGTGCCTGCTCTTTGCCAAAGCTCTCGTGATAGTTATGAATACAGCCCAGGCTCTACTGCAAGGAACCAATCTTTATCGTTAGGAAAGACAGGTATGTGAAATAGAATAAAAAGGTCGACTTAAGTATAGAGGTAAGAAAGTGTGAAGCATACACATAACAACAGTATTTATTTGGCTCATTGTAAAATGCTTGTGGAACTGGGAATGTAAATTTGGTTATTTCACAGAGGACTTTAAACAGAAAGCACAAAAAGTTTGTGTCCTATGTAGTACAAGCACTGGGAAGTAGATTTGTTCTTTTTCTTTTTTAAGTAAATCAGTAGTAGTGTGATTGGATCCCTGCTATAGAATGGCCAGTTCAACAACACTAGAATGGAGGAGTCAGGAATATAGATGAGCAGGCTACTGAAATAATCCAGATAAATTATTAATATTGTATTTGATTGTAAATGAGTGAAAGAATAGATTGTGAGGGCCATTAAATAAGTAAATCTACAGGACTTGATGAAAATATTCAGATTTACTTGGGCAAAAGGACTAGTCCATTACAGAGAAATTATATATTGCCCTTTCCAGGATTCTGTACTCTGTAACCTTGTAGAAGCCACAAATGCACTAACGTACAGGAGCATAGGCAGAATTCTACAGCATCTCTGAACCTTAAGTTAAGAAGTATTGGTTATCATCAAGCAGCTTGCTCAATAATTGCAAGCCATAAAGCTTAGTCCAATTTCTAGTCTCATTCATCTAATATAGTCTAGTCTCTTACCTGACTTATTTGGGGCTTTTAACCTTCTTTACAAGGTTGTTGTGAATTTTAATAAAAGGGAATAAATGCCCTCAGGGTAAGAAACAATGTAAGCACTATAAAAGTTTACAGTGGTGGTAGTAGTAATAATAATTTTATTTAATGATGCCAGCGTTTAAAAAATTACTTCTAACATTTTTGCCAAAACAATAATAGCTAAGAAATTGATCATGTTGTTGCCATATTTTATGAATAAGTTGTTCGTAAATAAATATAAACAGACAAACCAAACTCACTGCCATGTGTCCATTCTAATTCATAGCGACCCTATAGGTCAGGGTAGAATTGCCCCCTGTGGGTGTCTGAGACTGTAACTCTTCACAGGAGTTGAAAGCCTAGTCTTTGTCCTGCAGTGCCACTGATGGCTTCCAACTGCTGGCTCTGCGGTTAGTGCCCAATATGTAACCACTTTGTAAAAATGCAAATGCAAAATCTATAAATGAGATCATGTAAAATCAAGGTAAAAAATTTTAGGTTTAATCTATTGTGTGAGAAGAAAGATGAAATATAAAAGAAACATCTAATAGTCTCTTCCAAAAGGAACGAATAATTTGGTTGGAGAAAGGATAGCTAAAGAAAATAATCTCTCTCCCCTCATTGCCATGGATTCAGTGCTGACTCATACTGACCCCAGTGGGTCTCCTAGACTGGAACTCTTTCAGGGAGTAGACAGCGCAGCCTTTCTCCCACGGAGCTACTGCTGACCATGCGGAGCGCAACCCAGCACGTAACCACCACACAACGCCAGGGCTCCTACAGAAAATAATAGATGCCAAAAATACTGTGTCAACAAATAGATTTTAAGGTATCAGTAGACTGAGTATTAAGTATTGAGAATTGACATTAGTAAACAAATCATGTTAAAATGTAAAATATTTATATGCTCATTTCATGTGTTCAAAAATCAGATGTAGCATTTAAAAATAACTTTAAATTTTACTTGCTAGTTTAATACTCTCCTTTTAAATGGAAGAAAATGGACATCGGAACAGTATTAACCTTACTCACAGAATGCTGAAGACACATCAGGAGCCAAGAAGTTAGCCTGATAGTTTTTTCAGTTCATTTTGGGATCATATCACCATGTAGGCCTTAAAATTATCTCAGAAGTGACATTTCCAAGCGAGATGTTCTCCTAATTTGCATCATAATTAATAGGTGGAACTTAGCATTTTTACTTGGGTTCTGTTCATGATTTCTCTGCTATTTACCAACAGTATCTTGTAGTCTCCTAGATTCGAGCCAAACAGATATGCTTGCCAGAATTCTTTATTGTCAAATTGCTTTTGTTGTTAGGCTATCCATTTACCTGCTGAAACCATGAGAATCGTGCTGGAACGCTGCTACAATGATTTGCGTCTTCTCAGTGTGCCCAGTAAAACTCTGAAAGCTGAAGGCTTTTTTAGAAGTAACAAGGTGTGTTCTTTAAATTTTTAATTACTGTTTGCTCTGCTGGTGGTGGTAAATGAAATTCCATTCAGACCGGGGTTTTGAACCAGTTCACTTGGGTTCAACCCCCAGCTGAGACATAACCTTTCCAAGGAAAACCAAACTCACTGCCATGGATTGGATTATGGCTCATCTACGGAAGATGCATTGAATTAGAATCTACATTTTAACAAAATCCTCAGCTGACTCTTAGAGACCACCAGGTGAGTCTTATGTATACATATAAACATCTGAGGACTTTGGTAGACTGTAGGTTCTGACTCCCTATAGCTGCAGGAGAAATGCAAACTCTCCGCCAGGGTGTTGAAGTGGGCTGAGCTGGTGCAGAGCCCTGGCTCAGATTTAGAAGCCTGGCCTTCAGAGCCAGATGACCTCAAGTAATGTGCATACTTGAGTAAACCAGAAAGGTGGTGTTATACGAATAGCTGTGTATAAATTTAAATGTTTCCCAAACTCTCAACATTGTAGCCAGTTCACGTCAGGTTTCTTTCTGCCCTCTAAGTCAGTCTTGCTGGTTCCCTTCTTTTCTTTTGATCATGCACTACCAGTCAACTGGAGTGTTCTTCCCCCTTCTGCCTACAATATTTTTCAAGCTCTAGATTAGTCCTGCCACTCCCACAGTGTCCGCTGAATTTTGTTCATATTTGAGCTTTTCTCAGAAGTCAGAACTTGATGGGGACAGTCAGAGGCATGCCTAGTCTAGAGAAAATATAGTGGATTCACCAACAGCATTCCCTTTGCTTACTTATTTACCTCTCTGGTGAAGAAGAAACCGTTCACCTTGATCTTTTTGTTTCATCTCTTCATATCATATATTCTACCATCAATACTTTTTCATTCTGTTTGTTCTTAATGTTGTTGATTCGCCTAGATAAGTTACATCAAATTTGGCACTTTTGATTTATCACCTGTCTTAGGCAGGGTTCTCTAGAGAAACAAAACCAAGACACTTAAAATTTTACGTATATATAAGAGGATAGGTTTATATAGCGAGAAGGAATATATCAGCTAACTAGTCCACACAGCAGTACAGAGGGTTCAGTTCAACTCACTTCCATGGAGCAGTTAATATACTACTGAAAGTCCTTCAATTCACGTGGACTGCCGGGTCTAAGATCAAGGAAGCAGACAGTGGAGTCCTTCCTCAGGCTTGCTCCCACAGGCAGCAAGCAGCAGGGTGGGTCACCAACAGTCCAAGCAGGCCCAGATGGGAGCAATGCATGATGACAGGATCCACTCAAGCCATATGCGTATCGGCAGCATGGCAGAGCCGCTCTCAGAGGAGCCTCGAGCTCTAGCCACATGATCCACTGAGTGGCCTGGCCCACAGGGAGTGTAGCTCACAAGTTGAGGCAGACAACTAGCTAAAGCAGCAGCACCCTCCAGCACACTCTGATCGCCAGAGAGCAAGAGAGAAGGGGGCAGGCCTTGTAGAGCCATTTACCTCTTTGCCCTCCAATCAAACTGCGACCTGATTAATGCCACATGTTCATATTGGCCAGGTTGGCACAATAAACTTATCACACCAGCTTTTCTACTCTTAATTTCATTCTTCGTCTATTTTTAAAACATTAATATTTCTTAGTATTGTTCTTTTAATGCTAATATGTATATTTTGTTCTAATGCTTTTGTGTGTGGGTGAGAGAATGTGTGTGGTGTGAAAATAACACTAAAATAGAATTTTGTTTTAGTGTGGGTAGAGTGTGATGGGCATCTGACTACATTTTTTTCACAAATGGTAATCTGTAGTCCAGTTTAAAACATTGATTAAATGAGTACGGAACTATATTTTTTAATGCTGAACCCAACATGCTATTGATGTTGCCAAATTTATGTATATTTGCACTTAATTTTTAAAACTTTTAATGATGGAAATTAAAAAATAGATTAAAAAGTAGTGAGAATTGAGCCCCCACATTTCCAAAATTATCACTCAGCTTCTACAGTTGTCACCTATTTTATCTACAAGGGGGTTTCAGAAACTTTGTGGAAAAACGGAATTAAGAATAAATGAACATTTCCATGGAGTTTTTAAAGTACCCTCATATGTTTATCACCCACTTCCTCCAGGATCCCTGCTGACACAGTGGTTAATAGTGCTTGGCTGCTAACCAAAAGATCAGTAGTTCAAACCCACCAGTTTCGGGGGTTTTTTTTTAAGCACCATTTCATGATGAATTTCAATGATTTAATATTTAGTTTCCAAAGTATGCATGCTTTGTTTTAAGAATTTTTTAAGTTTACCCTCTATTAATCCAGATTTTACCACTTACTTTAGTTGATGTTGATTGTTCTTATGATGAATATGTAAAAGATCACTAAAATTAATGATCCAACTCTGACTTACTGTTTAGGTATTTGTTGAAAGTTCCGAGACTTTGGACTACCAGATGGCCTTTACAGACTCTCATTTATGGAAACTCTTGGATCGGCATGCCAATACAATCCGATTATTTGTTTTGTTACCTGAACAATCCCCAGGATCTTACTCCAAAAGGACAGCCTACCAGAAAGCTGCGGGTGATTCTGGCAACGCAGATGACGAGAGTGAACGAGTGAAAGGACCTGTGGGCAGCCTAAAGTCTGTGGAGGCCATTTTAGAAGAAAGCACTGAAAAACTCAAAAGCTTGTCGTTGCAGCAGCAACAGGACGGAGATACTGGGGACAGCAGCAAGAGCACCGAGACAAGTGACTTTGAAAACATCGAGTCGCCTCTCAACGAGAGAGACTCGTCGGCATCAGTGGACCATAGAGAACTTGAGCAGCATATTCAGACTTCTGATCCAGAAAATTTCCAGTCTGAAGAGCGCTCAGACTCAGATGTGAATAATGACAGGAGTACAAGTTCGGTGGACAGTGATATTCTTAGCTCCAGTCACAGCAGTGATACTCTGTGCAATGCAGACAATGCGCAGATGCCATTGCCTAATGGACTTGACTCGCATAGTATCACAAGTAGTAGAAGAACTAAAGCAAATGAAGGGAAAAAAGAGACATGGGATACAGCAGAAGAAGACTCTGGAACAGATAGTGAATATGATGAGAGCGGCAAGAGTAGGGGAGAAACACAGTACATGTATTTCAAAGCAGAGCCCTATGCTACAGATGAAGGTTCTGGGGAAGGACATAAATGTATGTACTTAGAGGGAAAAGGCACTTTTGAAATAACTTTGATTTTTCTCTTAGTTCATTTAAATTTTTAGTTACAGAAAGAATCAGCTAAGTATTATGTGCTTAGTTCTAAAACCTTTCATTGCTGCCTGGGTTATAAGATTCTCTGTTCCTTTTGTGTTCATGTTTGGTGTGTAGTGCACCATGTTGCTAGATTTAAATTTTCACACAGGAGATCTATATGACAGTAGTTATACCAGAAATATGGAGAGAGAGCAATCTTTTTAAAAGTTGATAATACTAGGGAAAAATACGATAAAGTACTAAACTTAAAAATTAGGGATAGCTTATTTAAAAAACAAAACTATATACTAATTTAAGAACCTCAGCCCTTCTGCCAGTTTGCTGTTTAGTGCCCAGAAACATTTTTTGCTTGTATATCTCCTCTCTTCTCTCCAACCCCCCAAACATATAGCAGCTCTTTCTACAATCTGAAGAAAGTCCGTCCCTTGCTGAGGAACTCGGGGAAAGAAAAGGCGTTTTTGTTGTTGTTTCTTTCCAATTTGACATTTCGAAGTGCAATGCAAACAATAAACTAGAAATTTCAAGTTGCATAGTCTCAGAAAGATGGAAGAGACCTTAAAGTAAGCCCATGTAATTTTGAGCTTACTAGACAATGAAAACAGAATAGCAATATTGTGTGAGACTTAAAATTATAGAAGACTTTTTATCATCTCAGACTGAAACTAGCCAAACAAATTAGGCCACTCAAATTCAAGATAGAAAATTCTCCTCAAGTTTTAGTGGGAAATAGTTTTCAAAACATATTTATAGTTTAGTGTTCTCACTGGAAGCTTCTCTGAAGTGAACATAGCAAATATCACTGTCACTTAACAGAGAAGAAACTGGAGCTCGTAGAGGATGAGTGACTCGCCCCACCATCCCTAGACAGCCAGTGAGTAGTGGGACTGCTGCTCGAATTTCAGGCCACTAGTTGAATGCACTTGCTTCCGTTCCCTCTAGCCCCATTCTTCGGTCTATCCATCCAAACAGCCTTTCTTGAGTCCACACTAGATGTCAGCCCGTGTGTAGCTATTGAGAAGTAGAGGTGGTTAGGGATAAAGCTCAAGGAGAGGAGGCACACAAGTGCAATGGTGCTCAGGATCTGAAAACTCTGTCTTTAAAAAAAAAATAGTAGGAATTATGAAATCGGTATAAAGAAGCATAAATTTGTGTTTTTAATATACTAAATCTGAATAGGTCTAAGCATGGGAATCACATAACATCTATGCAAAACTCATAGAAATTCAAGTGAGAAAGTACAGGTTGGCTGTCCAAAATAAAAACAGAAATCCTATCATAACAATGCTTTAAGTATATCAAACTTTTACTTTGAAAGTCTTGTTAACGTACATTATTGTCTCATTTAGTTTTCTTAAATGAACAATCAAACCTGCAGCCGCCGAGCCGATTCTGACACATAGTTCCCTGTGTGGCAGGGTAGAGCTGCCCCATGGGGTTTCGAAGGCTATAAAGCTTTCTAGGAGCAGACTGCCACTCGTTTCTCCCAGCAGAATTTGATATTTCCAAATCACCAACTTTTCCTGCAGCAGACAAGCGCGTTAACAGCTGCACCCCCAGGGCTCTTGTTAACAGTTGTGTGGGTCGCTGCTGTTAGGCACAGGCGAAGGACTTTCCTCAGGACCCTGTGGGAAGCTCCAGGGTCCTGTCGGCCTGGTCTGCACCTCGGCTCGCCAGCCCTTAGCTGCTGTCGCTCCTGCTCTTCCTCTCCTTGCTTGCTGAGGGCTCACTCCACGGTAGAGGACGGGCAGCCGATGCCGGCTCTGCTTTCCTATACTTCTCAGCCCTCCCAGGCCCAGAAATTAAACGCAGCCCCTCAAGAAAAGGTTGGAAAATGCTGTGAGTGTCCTTTAGAGTTCTGTGCTAAAACTTTGGCTGGATAATAGTCTCAACCTTCAGTGGAGATAAGAAAAATACAGACAGGAAAGGATCATCTCTCATCTAGAAGAGTTTGTGGAGTCTTTAAAAAGGACATTGCTGTTCAGTTTCGCCTTTTTGGAAATGCATACTGGGTTAATTTCCTAACATTCATTGAGATTGCGAACATTGAAGAGAAGCCGTTTGCTATGATTTGTTTAGACATCTGAAGACTTGTTTGAAAAGAATAAGTAAAACCCCTGAAAAATGCTTTTCACGTTAGAAAACTGGTTTAGAGAGAGAGGACTAGGATGGGTTGCGCTAACACTGGCACGGCACAGCTGCTTGGGGAGTTGAAAGTAGGCTCCTGGGACACCGTGCAGGATGGGTAATAAAATAATATCAGACAGGGTGATGACACGGTTAAGGTGCAATGAGTAAGCAATTTGACACATGAAATGACAGTGTGTGTAAACCAAACCCAAATTCACTGTCACTGAGTTGGTTCTGACTCACCACTACTGTATTGGACAGAGTTGACCTGCCCCTATGAGTTTCCAAGGATGTAACTTCTTTTTTTTTTTTTTTTTTAAGTTTTATTGATATATATAGTTCACATATACAAGCCAATGGCTTAAACATGTTTTTTAAAGTTGTACAATTATTACCACGATCAATTTTAGAACAGTTTCTTCATTCTTACACTCATTAGTATTAGCTCCCCATTTCCCCCCAACCTCCTCTGCCATAGGATGTAACTCTTTATGGAAGTAGCAAGCCCCGTCTCTCCCTTGGGGTAGGTGGTGGTTTCGATGTGTAAACACTACGCCAACCAGGACTCGTGAGCTATCAACAGTACAGATAATTCACTTAGATACAGTACCGATAATCTGCTGTCATGGAGGAATGGTTTCAGAGGGTCAGTGTAGACATTTCTTTGAAAATGCTATCATGTTTCCTGAAGACACGTGGCCATGGCGATGAGTCGACCAGGTACAGTAATGAAATAAAAGGTAATGTATTTGCCTGGGAACACCTCAGTACAATTTGAGTTCCTACCTCATTCACATGCATAAAAGAAAAGAAGAAAGCACACTTTCACTGCCCTCGATAAAAGCGTCAAGTTGCTCTTTGCTGAATAGCATAGGTAGACGCATACTTTGTCACTCACTGGTGTATTAAAACTTGGGGACACGGCCTGAGGCTTACAAAAGACACTTCAAGTTTTAAAATTCGCCACAAAGGGCAGATAGTAAACAGATCCCATCACCCTGTTTGCATTTTTTTCCTATTCATTCTTGCCATTTTCTACAATAAGCCTGTGTTTTATAACCAGGGAGATAACTAGTGAACATTAAATTATTAGATGCGCCTGGTGGTGCAGTGGGTGAGTTGGCCTGCAGTCAAAAACCACCAACCGCTCCCTGGCAGAAAGACAGAGTTTTCTGTTTCCAGAGAGGTTTCCAGTCTCAGAAAGCCCACGGGGCGGTTCTCCTCTATCATGTAAGTGATGTCTGACTCTGAGCCAGAAAATAGGAACATTCCAGAAGAATCTTCAGATGTGTTTTATAAAATCAGGGACAAAGTCTAAAACATTTTTTGAAAACAAAGTTCATCAAAGGTAATCCTATTACATTGCCAAGAATGCTCTCCTGTAAGCCTTGAAGAGGGTGGGGTCGGGGGCATTTTGGATCCTTCAGGAAATAACTTCTTTTATGATCTAACTGCATGACAAAACACATCTCAGTCTGCTGGTCTTGAAGCTTTTCATTGAAATTTCAAACTCGGTTCATTACCAAATTTGAGGCAATTCTGAGCACCTGGCACTGAGATCATCCATGTGGTCCCTCAGTGGCTCCACGCTGTCGCGCTGAGGGGTAGGTCTGGGTGTCATCGGTTTCCTAATGAAGGAACGGAGACAGGGTGGCACGCTCCTCCCTCCTCGCCCAGCCTTAGCTAGTGAGGGAGGCCATCGAGGAAGCCTGTGGATTCCAGCCAGAGAAGGTATCGTTACTGTTGGGTAATATTCTCCTTTGAAGGAATTCTACGAAGTTTTGCAAATGCGATCTTGAATCCAGGAGAGGGAAGGCACTTAAATATTTCTGTAGATTTAAAGGTGTCAGATTATACCTGTTATATATATTAAGTCTTATGATCATTCAGTGTGTCAGCTACAAGTCGAATGTATGGTATATGATCTGTTTTATTTGTGCTTTAAATGGGCTCTTAAACTGCTCGCTCTGGTTTTTGTTTTTCTTTGCTTAGGGTTAATGGTGCAGGTGGATAAAAGAATTACTCTGGCTGCTTTCAAACACCAGTTGGAGCCCTTTGTGGGAGTGCTGTCCTCTCACTTCAAGGTCTTCCGAGTCTATGCCAGCAATCAGGAGTTTGAGAGCGTCCGGCTGAATGAGACACTTTCATCCTTCTCAGATGACAATAAGGTTGATTAAGATCGTCTTTGAATGATTGTAAACTTTCAAGTGATAGATTTGAGAACAGCTTGCACTATGTTCTAGTAAGGTGAAACGGATACCCTGAAAGGAACCCTTTTCTCGGGTTGTGTGTTTTGCTTGATTCCTCTGAGAAACAAACTACTGTTGCCTGTGTGTCTGACTGTTCCAGGTACTAGTGGTGAGAGACCTGCTTGCTGTCAGAGAGCTAGAGATTTTGAAAAACAAAGCTGTAAACACAGGGTGAGAGTGGACTGTGTCTTCCTTCTGTTGGGGTAGCACGTCTAAGCCGAGAACTATTTTAATTTGCAGATTACCATTAGACTGGGGAGAGCACTGAAGAAAGGAGAATACAGAGTTAAGGTGTACCAGCTCTTGGTCAATGAGCAAGAGGTGAGTAGCACAATGTAAGCTTTCATTTTGTCGTGAAGAGATTTTGTTAGCAGTCGTTTCTTTTGACTTCCCGTCGCACTGTTCAGCAGAGTTTCCAAGCTAACATTGTAGCTTTGCGGGCCCTATGATTTCTGTGGCAGCAGTTCAGCCGCTTGAAGCACAGACGTATGCATGGATGGTCCAGAAACTCACTCGCTCACTCACTGCCATCCAGTTGATTCTGACTCATAGTGCCCCTATAGGACAGAGTAGGAGTGCCCCTGCCCCTGGGGGTTTCTGCGACTAACTATTGACAGGTAGGAAGCCTCACCTTTCCCCTGAGGGGCACTTGGAGGGTTCCAGCTGCTGCCCTTGCAGTTAGCAGGCCAGCTTGTACCCACAACAAAACAAGAGCTCCTTTTAAGTGGAGAGAACATGTTTTGAGAATGATGTACAAATGCGCTTTACACAATTGATGTGTGTATGGATTGTGATAACAGTTGTATGAGCCCCTAATAAAATGTTAAAAAAAAAAAAAAAGAACTAGAGGGAAAAGAAAAAAAAAACCAGAGCTCCCTCTGTAAATTAAAAGGTGGCTCTTGTCCAGTCAAGTTTGATTTCCTAGAACGGGCAGTGGACTGAAATCTGCCTGGGGGCCACTGTTTGTCACTTCCCAGCACCACAGTGCTGCTACAAAGGCTGGGGTGCACAGAGGGTCCATCCTTTTCAGAGGGGCTGTGTGTGTGTGGCAGACAGACCAGTGTCTGGAGAAGGACGGCGTGCTTGGCAGAGTGGAGGCGCGTGAAAAAGAGGAAGGCCTCGACAAGGGGGTTGGCACAGTGGACTCCACACAGTAACAATTGGAGGATGGCTCCGGACGGGGCAATGTTTTGTCCTTTTGGACATAGGGTCACTGTGAAAAAATGGCACGGAGAAGGCTGTGTTCCACCTCCTCCAGCTTCCCTGTCGCCACCAGGCAGGAGTCAGACATGCCTCCACACTTCCTCCTCACCTATTCTGACACCAGTTGTTTCTCCCAAGCCCCTCTCCATCTCTGCAATGGCCACACAGAACATGCAAGATTCGGGAGGCTGATTAGAGAGATTAACAGGTTAGTTACCAAAAGTCAAGATGAGTAAACAGTAAGGATACAGCCATTGGTCCATAGCAGCGCCGCCTCAGCCAGCAGACAGTCTCTCTCTGTTCCTCAGTCTCTTAACCACGTGCTCCCTTGGCCTCTGCCTCGGTGGACCGGGAAGCCCCTTTCACTTAGCCTCACAGTCCCATAATCTTGACATTGCTCCTTTGTTCTGTCTCTTGGTTTCTTTGCCTCAGCCTCTACTCTCGACCTCTGCCACTTCAGACAGAGATCTCAAACATGCTCTTGTGATGGACCTGTGTCAGAGATGGCTCTTTCACACACAGGAATGCCTTTGAGTTGTGGCGCGTGTCTTTCACTGACCATCCCCCTAAAGAAACAAAGGGTCTACCTTGGTTCAGACCCTCTACTAATGTCGGCATTGAATCCCACCTGTATGTTGACTAGCATTGCAGAGAGTGCCTTTCCAGTAGTCACAGGCCGTGTCCAGATCTCCGAGAACTCGCATAAGGAATGATGGCGGGAAGGACTGTATTAACTGACTACATCTCAGCTGCAATGAGTCAGAACCAACTCCGTAACACCTAACTACCTAACAGCAGCAGTTGTGCATGCCTTGTCAGAATGAGTGGTTGCATACTCATACTGGTCAGGTTATAACTACGGACCTGTAGAGTCTATCGGTCATTTCTGCGTTTCCTTTCATTCACTGTGTGCTAGACATTGCTCTTGCATGCTTGTTGTTGCTGTTGTCAGATGCTGTCCACGTCTGTTCCAGCTCATTCCAGCCTGTGCACACCAGATCAAACGTACAAATGTTCCTTGACAAGTGTGACACAAGGAATACCGTTTTCATAAAACGCCGTCGGACAAAATGGGGGTGGGGGTGATCCATCATATCTCTTAAGTGTAACTTAATGCAATCACTTTGATTTAACATGTTTCTTCTAAGTGTGCTGTGTCTGAACACTGCTTCTTTTGAGACAGTGTCTTAGGAAAATACATATGCATTTCTCTGTTTCTCCATAAAAGTGGTTCTTTTTACTTTCAAAATTGTCATCATTCTGTTCAAAGGAAATAAAGAATGCTATCCCTAATCTTCACAATGCCTAGTAAAGCTACTGTCCGAATTTATAGATGAGAAAACTGAGGCACCAAGTAAGTAAACTTGCCCAAGATTGCACAGCTAGTAAGGCATGAAGCCGGGATGTGAACCTGGGAATCAAGATCCTGAAACTCAGGCACTTCATTATGACATTGCAGTTTCTTGTTTTACGATATATTCAGTACTAACTGTCTATGTTTATATTTTAGCCATGCAAATTTCTGCTAGATGCTGTGTTTGCTAAAGGAATGACCGTCCGGCATTCAAAAGAGGAATTAATTCCTCAACTCAGGGAGCAATGTGGTTTGGAGCTCAGTATCGACAGGTAAGATAAAAATCAGAGCATCCTGGGTGACTGACTTGAAGGGAATTTGTGTAGTTAAAGAACGTAGACCAGCATGCATGTCTGAAACTAGAAGGATTGCAAGTCTTAAACACCGGCTTTAGACTTCTACTTGCCATTGTTCTGGGAGATACTACATTTGAAATATTGGATGCATTAGGTACGTTTCCCCCGAGTCTATTTAAATGAATAACCATTTATCTGACTTTAGTATTTGAACATAGTTCATTTTTCCTTGGCATTGTCAGTGCCAGTTTTTTAAGTTGTTAAGAATCTCTGAACAGTTTGAAATAATCATGTTTGTAGGTTTCGTCTAAGGAAGAAAACATGGAAGAATCCTGGCACTGTCTTTTTGGATTATCATGTTTATGAAGAGGATATCAATATTTCCAGCAACTGGGAGGTCTTCCTTGAAGTCCTTGATGGTATTGTCGATATTTTAAGGGGGAAATACCAGTTTAGAATCTTCTTGAAACCCTGTACTTTTCCTTTTAGAATCAAATAATGAGTTACCAGGAATTGAATACTTAAAATATTTGTATTTCATTAAGCATAGAGAAATCATTGTTATAGATTGGTATGATTTCTACCCTTGGGCCCTCCCTGAGATTGTCTTTCCTTTTTTCTTAACCAACTGGCACCAGTTATTTTTGAGCGTACCTCTAGTGTCCTCCGGGTTTCTCTTTCTCTAGTTTCTGGTCTCCTTTTGAATATTTCTTCTTTTCTCTAATTTTGAAAACTGTAATTTCTCCTTAGAACTTATAAGTTCAAAGTTAGATTTTTAGTATTTCTTACAGGAAATTCTGCTAATAATTTCTTAGCCATGCTTATTATTTTGTCAACTTGTTTTATGACTTATTTTCTTTCCCCCCACCCTCCCCTAGCTGTGGTATTGATAATTTGTCAAGAGATTTTGAGAATGTTGACATAGCAGAGCATTTTTTTATTTGTCATACTTCCCAGGTTTAAGGATCATGGGTAGTATGTTGTAAATGTCCTTTTTTTTTAGAGGAAGCTGGTGTTGCAGGGGCGGGGTTGTTTTTGAGAAATAACATCAGGGTCAATAACTAGTTCTGTAATGCTTACACCTCCCCAAGGCCACTTCAGGTCGGATTCAGTTTACATTTAAATGGTTGAAGACCTGACTGGAGAGGCCAGGGGCTGCAAGAACAGTGTCAACCATTGTGTAGGGAAGCGTTCCCCTGCTGATTCCTTCACCAAGTAGCTGAGACCCTTAGACAAGATCACTGGGTCCAAGCAGGCCTGGAAGGAGCTCACCAAGGACATCAGAGTGGTGAGGAAGGATTAAATAGAGACTAGTATATATAAGCCAGGAAACATTACTTGATCATGGATGCCTGTGTCAGTCTCATTTTAGTGTATATTTTTGCAGCAAAATAGTCGAGTGAGGCTTGTAATTAAAGGTAAGAAATATTTATTGACCTGTGATTTACCAGACTTGTGCTATGAAAATGAGTGGCAGTGAATGCCCTCCTGACACACGTAGTCTAGTGGGAGAAACTCGTAAGTCTGAACAGTCATCCATAGGCATCTGAGGAACCAAATCACTGCACCAGAGAGCATCAGCACACCAGAGGGAAAGGGGACAGTCGAGCTGTGTTTGAAGAACCAGTATAGGGAATAAATGAAAAGAGAAGAGTTCATGTGTTCAGGGGGTTCCCATGAGTCAAAATCAATTGGAAAACTGGTTTGATGACAGCTTGAGTGGGAAAAGAGAATAAAGTGAAGTTGATCGGATTGTAATTTTAGATTGTGAGTTGGGAGCCAGCAGAGAAGCAGAGATTGGAGATCCAAAGAAGAGAGTAATTGGTAGAGCAATGTCAAGTATGACTCGGGAGGAATGGAATTGGGACTAGTGGTTGCAGGATAGCCTGCTGAAACTGGATGGGAAAAAAGTAAATGATTCATTCTCAACACTTCATTGGATGCTTCGTTTCCTTTTTGCCTACCTTTTAAATTTGCGGCAAGGCCTTCAGCCACAGTTCATCTTTATTTAAACTTCAGCGGATCCACGCTGGAGAAAAGCCCTATTAATGCAATGAATGTGGCAGAGCCTTCAGCCAGAGCTCCCTTCTTATAGAACACCAAAGACTTCACACCAAGGAAAAGCCCTATAGATGCAATGAACGTGGGAAATCCTTAAGTCACAGCTCATCACTCAGCCAGCATGAAAAAACACAGGGGGAAAGCCTCATGAATGTCAGGATTGTGGAAAGCCCTTCAGACAGAGCACCCACCTCACTCAACACCAGAGGGTTCACACAGGAGAGAAGCGGTAGGAGTGCAGACACTGGGGGAGAGCCTTCACACACAGCTCCTCCCTTACCCAACACCAGAGAATTCATACTGGGAAGCCCCACCCTGCTAGTGGTGGATTATGGGGAAGTCTTACACCATAGTTCTTGTTCTCTTGAATTTCTCCCAATCACACTGATGAGAAACAACCCAGACATTAATACTAAACCTTCACACACATTGCACCCCAGCCAACCCTCAGAGAGTTCACACTGATGGGGACGATCACAGGAATACCTAGCCCTAGCTTATCCATCCCTATATGTAAGGTCAGACAGTAGGTCAATATGGAGGTAGGTGATGTTTAAAGTCCCCAGCCGTGAGTGCCCTGTAAGCTAGTAAGATAAAAATCTGTATTAGAAACAGAACAAGTGTAGTGCATCTGGGGATGGCTTCTCTCCAAAGATTCAGCATATTCCTCCAGATTTCTAAGTGGCAAGAAACGCAATAAATGCCTTTCCAAATTAACTAAATGAAGCCAAAATTAACATTATTGCACATTGTGTCCTTACGGTGCGCTGTACAGTGTAAGTTGTGAATGATGTAATTGACTCACGCTCCCAAGAAACCAATGAAGTATAACATATTTATGGATCACCACAGATACTGAACTGGCTCGGAACAAAGCTTTCTGATTTAATATTATTGTTATTTTAGCTTTCTGATTTAAATGTAAATTATTCAGTGAGCATATATGGAAACCAGTGTCATACACTTATCAGTATATGAGGGAGCTTCAAAAATTTGTGAGATTATCGGAATCGTGAAGTTTTAAGGCCTCAGATTGTAAGCAGATTTCAAGTTAATTAACAGTGCATTATTTTGTAACAAATGAATCTTCATATGCAATATTACTGAAAAGTTTGATGTGGAAAAACTTGAAATGTACAGCCACTTCCATGGAATTTCAAATTGTGTGAGGGCTTTTTTTAAAAGATCATTTTATTGGGGGCTCTTATAGCAATCCTACATCAATTGTATTAAGCATATTTGTACATATGTTGCCATCATTTTCTAAATATTTATTTTCTATTTGAGCCCTTGGTATCAAATCTTCCCCCTACTCCCCGCCCCCTTATGACTCCTTGATAAATTATAAATTATTATTTTCATATCTTACACCAACCGCTGTCTCCCTGCCACTGTGGTTTCTGTTGTTTGTCCTTCTAGGGGTGGTGGGAGTGACAGTTGTATCATTCGTTGCAGGCCCCCTGCCCTTTTCCTCCCCTCCTCTCCCAACTTTACCTCTACCCTCCTGGTGTGAAATGGCTTTTGCTGCTCTATTCTGTTAATTTCTTCTCAGGAGTCTTGGGGATTTGAAACTCAGATTTTTTTTTTTTTTATAAAGGGCTTTTTTCTTTTCCAAGTCATCATTTATGTGTATTAACACCTTCACATTGGAATCATGTGTTTCACGATTTGTTCATTTGGAAAAATATACAAGTTAATCTCTTGAGGGGAAAAAAATAAGAATAGCACTTGCACTGAAGCTTTCTGTTTAGCCGGGCACTGTAGGAAAAGTCAAATTGAGAGCCTTTGGAGAAAGTCAGATGACGGCCCAATCGTGCATGTCTTTAGGGGTAGAGAAGATGAAGTCCATGTCGCAGCTTGCAGTTCTGTCCAGGCGATGGAGGCCTTCAGAGATGAGGTTGGATCCCTTCCAGGAAGTTGTGTTGGAAAGCAGTTGTGTTGATGAATTGCGAGAAAAGGTAAGCGCATTTTAAACAAAACGAGCTAAAATCACAAGGTAAATCAAAAAGTATTGCCATTGAATCATAGAAGCCTTGACGAAGCAAAAGTATCAAGATAAAAAGCCATTGGGTTTATTATTATTATTATTATTATTATTAAAAGATCTTTTTGTTGGGGACTCTTACAACTCTTGTTGAAATCAATATATCGATTGCATCAGGCATGTTTGTACATATGTTGCCTTCATTCTTTTTTACACCTTTACTTTCTATTGAGCCCTTGGTATCAGAAGCTACTGATTCTTAACATAGCTTCCATCTAGGGCCATGTAGGCAATGTTTTCATCTCTGGAGCCCTTCGCTGAAGAATTCTGAATGCTTTGAAACAGACCACTTCACAGTGGCAGCCTTGGCTTCCTCAAGGAACTCAACTCATATTCCTTTTATGTGTACTTTGCTTTGGGAAATAGAAAGTAGCTGAAATGGGCAGGATAGGGCTGGAGAGTGGATGAGGTAAGACGTCCCAATGAAATTCTCACAGGGCAGCCTGACTGCCTTTGAAGAACAAGTTGGTACATAGTCATCATGGGAGGAGAAATTCCTTTGCACAACTTTCCTCTCCCTTTTCTCACCTTTGCAGCTTTCCATTTTCTTAAAACTTCGTGATGAGCCCTGTGATCTTCCCGTCTGTCTGGATCGGTGCCCTCCTCACAGGCATACCTGTTTGAACCCATCTTTGCAACCACTCTTTCGGACAACTTCATGGAGGAACTTCCTCTTTTTTGTTCTTACTCTGTACCTTCCAGGCCAGGTCGTCTTGCCATCCACGCTTCTAAGAGAATTCTGGTTGTACGTCTTCCAAGACAGAGTTGTTTGTTTATGAGTCTTCTCTAATCCTGATACCATGTTCTCCATATAGTCCAGCTTCTTGGATTATTTCCTCATAATAATCATACAGTGAAGTATAGTGAAAGGTTACAATCGTAATGCATACCTTTTCTGGTTTTAAACCACACAGTGTCCCTGTGGTCTGTGTACAGGTCTGGAGTGCCCATTCTTCACAATGTCTTTCATAATTTGTTGTGATCCACATAGTCAAATGCCTCTGCATAGTTAATGAAACCCAAGTAAGCTTCTTTCTGGTATTCACGTGTCTTCCGCTGAGATCCACCTGATGCTAGCATTGATATATCCCTAGTTCCAGCTCCTCTTCGAAATCCAGCTTGAATTTCTGGCAGTTGCCTCTTGATGTACTGCTATAACTATGTTTTCATTAACTTGGCAAATTTTACTTCCATGTGATATTAATGAAAATATTTGATAATTTCTCAAGCCATCCTTGAAATCTTTTGTTTCTGCCTTTGGCATCATTTTTCTTTTGGTTTTAGTTAGTTTATGTTTAAGAGATTCTTTTGATATCTGTTTGGGTCATTTTTTTCTTTCCTCTCTTTGTAATGACCTTTCACTTTCTTTATATTCGATGTCTTTGATGGCATCGCAGAACTCTGGTCTTCCTGTTCAGTCTATTCATCAAGTCTAGTCCAGAAGACGATCTCTACATCCAGGTGAGATGTGAGGAGGCTTCAGAAGTTCATGGGGAACAGAAAGGAGTTGGAATTTTCTCATGGATTTTTTTGAAGCCCCCTTTTGAAGCAAAGTTGTGATTTCGCTCTTGTGAACTTGTATGTTCGTTTTCTTGAGTTTTACCATGAATTTATATATGCGTGACTCATGGCCTGTTCTGGAATCCTCCCCAGCCTTATTCTGACTCAGTTGGGTTCTCCACCGTTTCTTTTCACAGAAGTAATCAGTTTGATTTCTGTCCATTTCTTCTGGTGAGAGCCACATGTGTAATTGCCATTTATGTTGTTGAAAAGAGTTATTTGTGATGAATAACTCACTGGCTTTGCAAAATTCTATCCTGTGATCTCCAAAGTCATTTCTGTCTGCTAAAGCCCTAATTTCCAACTTCCGTATTCTAATCACCAATAGTTATCAATGCATCCTGATAGCATGTTTGATCAATTTCAGATTCCAGGAGTTGGTAAAAACCTTCAATTTTCACATCGTTGGCTTTAATGATTGGTGCATACATTTGAATAATAGTCATAGAAACTACTGTTCCTTGTAAGGTTATAGCTATTATTTTATCACTGACAGTGTGGTATTGTAGGATAGATAGCTCTCACAGCAGTAAACGTCATGCCAGCCCTCTTCAGTGGGTCGTTCCCAGAATAGGACACCGTGTGACTATGGGTCAGGTTGGCCAGTGCCATTCCTTCTCAGTTTACTCATGCCTGCTGTATCAATCTGTACGCATTCTATTTCATTTTTGACCATCACTAGTTTTCATATACACTCAACATGCATGTATTCCACACTGATTACACCTCCAGGATCCCAACAAACAACTGCCATAACCTTCTGAGTTAACTTTGTGCCTTGACTATAGCCCAGAGAGCCTGTCAGAAACCACTATTTTGATTGGACCTTTTTTTTTCCCTTTTTTGGAAGAAACCTAATGAAACTAACCCCCCACACTCACCAACACCCACCCAAAAAACCCCAAACTCACTGACATCGAGGCTCCAACTCATAATGACCCACTGTGGGTTTCCAAACCTCTAACTGTTTGGAGGAATAGAAAGCCCAGTCTGTCTCCCATGGAGCTGCTGGTGGTTTCAAACTGCCAATCGTGCAGATCTCAGCTCAGTGTAACCACTACACTACAGGGGTTCAGTGAAACTGAGACAGGTGTATTAGTGAGAGAACTTGTCTGCAGCCATCCATTGATCACAGGCATGTTTAGACACATTGTGTTTGGGATAAAGCCCTGCATATATGAATATGAACCCAGTAGTAATACGATTTTCCTTGCACACATTTTCCCTTGTGTTTCATAAGTGATGGTATAGGAAGTGAGAACCCAACACTATTGAGGAATGCATTGCCACATTCCACTTATTTCATAGAGCATTTGATGCTTTGAAATTTTACAGTCACTCAGGAGTGGGTCACCTCTGGATATGTAACTTAGGTTAATTTTTTATGAGAAGTTAGAATTCATAGTGAGTAGAGTAAATTTCTCTGTCTAAGAAATCCAAATGAAATAGCATCAAATACAGAATCCAATGGAAGATCTGTGCATATGAGTTTTGTGCTTTAAAAGTAGAAATTAGAGCGTTGTCTGGGGAAAGAGTGAATCCAATCAGCGGAACGGGGATAATTGGCTCCCCCTGTGTCCATTTCACACCAAATACAAAAATAAATTCTGAAATTATAAAAAAAAATTTATAAAAATCATTTAAACAAATAGGAATTTATTGTATTCCTTTCAGGCACGAGACCAAACCGAAACTAAACTCATTGCCATCGAATCAATTCTGTGTAGAACTGCCCCTGGGGATTTCCAAGACTATAACTCTTTATGGGAGTAGAAAGCCTCATCTTTCTCCCGAGGAACTGTTGGTGGTTTTGAACTGCTGACCTTGCGGTTAGCAGCCCATTGCACAACCACTACGCCACCAGGGCTCCTAGGCAGAAGACAGAAGTATCACAGTGATTTTATTAATTCTAGAGAAGAAAGATATGTGTGAGCATTAGAAACAAAATAATCCATAATTTGTAAGCAGCGACTACATTAATAAGATTAACTGCCTAATTTTAGAACTTGACAAAGAGCACGAAATGGCAATTCCTAGAAGGACAAATTAAAACTGTACTGTTTCACTGTCACGCTGTAAAGATTCAGAAAATAAATACTTAGCATGTGGCAGTCAAAGGAAAGCAGGCGGTTGGTGTCATGCACCTTTGATCACACTGGTTCAGGGTCGGGCGTTGGTTATCCACATTTCAGAGGTCCAGATCCACGTCTAGGAAGTCACTTATAGGAGTGTTTGAAGATAGGTGCGAGTATTTGGAAGTACTAAAGGACTTCAGAAAATTTGTGGAAAATCCAGTTATCTTTTATTTCCATTTTTACACAAACTTTTAAAAACCTCCTTGTTTATTGCATAGCATTCTTTATAACTGGGGAACACCTTAATCCTCATCCATAGGAAATAAAATGGTACGTTGTACAGCTGTTGGAGAGAATGAGGTAGGGTCCTTGCTATCCTATTTTCATGTCTAGGCTATATAAAATTGTTATAAGAGATCATTTATAAATGGACTTTTATATATTGTGAAAGTATATATTTAGATTGTGTATACATTGGAAAGAATACAATAAGTTTCTATTTCTAAGACAGTTCTGTGCACGGTGGGGATGGGTAGGAGATAATTCCACTTCCAGCTTTTTCCTTCTGCACTTTAACATCACATATTACTTTTTGGAGAAAGAAGTCAGCTATTTCAAGTAAATCTATAGCGATAGTAATTGCAGTAATAGTTACTTGTGGTTGTGGTGGGGGAGGTGAGGAAGAAAGCGGGGAGCTAATAATGAGTACAGAATGAAGAAAATGGTCTAAAATTGATAGTAGTGATGATTGTACAACTCTTTTTACTATGTTTAAACCACCGAAATGTATGGGAAGTATATGTTAATAAAACTTGGGGGGTAGTCAATCTGTTTCTGTGAGGGAAAGGGAAAAAAAATTTTCAAGGAAAATTTATTTTAAATAAATTAATAGACGATTTTTTTTGTTTACAGCTTAGTGAAATCAGTGGAATTCCTTTGGAAGATATTGAATTTGCCAAGGTAACCCCTGAGAGCGCTTGAGGCCTGTTCTGATGCTCTGTGGGCTTCTCTAGCAGCCTGCGCTGATGACTCCTTTGTTCTTGTCCCCTTAGGGCAGAGGAACGTTTCCCTGCGATATTTCTGTGCTTGATATTCATCAGGACCTGGACTGGAACCCTAAAGTGTCTACCCTGAATGTCTGGCCTCTGTATATCTGTGATGATGGTGCCGTCATATTTTATAGGTAGCAGTCACGATATTTATGTTGATTCTGATAGAACATTTTTGGCGTGCGACCATAGCTTGTTTCATAAATATCTCGACTCTTGTTGACGTGATACAATCACGGACCAGTAGAAATGCAAAGTGAGCTACACGCGTATTTTGAAATTTTCTTGTAACACCTTTTTAAAAAAGTGAAGAGAAGTAGGTCAAAGTAATATTAATATATTTTATCCCACGCAGTACACCCAAACCTTATCGTTACAGCATATAGTCAATATTTAAAAATCATTAATGATCCATTTACATTCTTTTACATCAGTACTAAGTCTTTGAGATGTGGCATTTCTTTTACTTGGAAGGAGCCCTGGTGGCCCAGTGGGTACAACATTCAGCCACCAACTGAAAGCGAGGCAGTTCACACCCACCAGCCCTGCCAAGGGAGAGAAGATGTGGCAATCTATTTCCGTGAAGATTCACATCCTTAGTCACGTCTTGGAGCAGTTTTATCATAGTGGCTTTGAGTAGGGCTACTGACTGCAAGACCAGCAGTTTGAAACCACCAGTCACTCCTCAGAAGAAAGATGGGGCTTTCTACTCCCATAAAGAGTTACAGTCTTGGAAACCCACAGAAGCAGCTCTGCCTTGTGTAATAGGGTCACTATGAGTCGGCTTTGGCTCAAAGGCAGTGCATGAACTTGGTTGTTTGTTGCTTGGCTAGAATGTCATCATGACTAGGAATTAGCTTGACAGCAATGAGTTGGATGTTTGGGGTTTGTACCACTTCCATCTCATTTTGGAGCAGTCGGTACCTGTGGTCTGTGACTCTGTATTTGACAACACAGCCACAGAGAAAAGGGAATCATCTTTGGCGAGGAGTGTGGCTGACCCGGGCTCCATGCAAGCTCTGCTATTTACTTAACGCCTCCTCTGTGAAATAGAGAAAGGGCCATGTACTTTGCAGGATTTCATAAGAATGAAGAATTAACTGGCACAGTTCCTGCCATGCAATAGATGCTCAGTAAATGATCGTTATTATTACCACTAGTAACATGGAGGTTCCTCTATGATGTTTTTAGAAATGGATGCTATGCTAATCCATTAAACTCATTAGAAATCTGAAGCATTCTAGTGGGTGAGATGATTTAACTTCAGTCATGCGGTCCAATTTCATGATCTTGCTGGGGGACATGATGGCACTGAAGCATCTAGTGATAGCAGCAGGTGGCTATCCTGGTCTCATGTGATTGATGTTTTTTACACGTAGGGACAAAACAGAAGAATTGATGGAATTGACAGATGAGCAGAGAAATGAACTGATGAAAAAGGAAAGCAGTCGGCTCCAGAAGACTGGGCACCGCGTAACATACTCCCCTCGTAAGGAGAAAGCACTCAAGATCTATCTGGATGGCGCACCCAATAAAGAGCCAGCTCAAGACTGACTGTGCTAGTGTGACATTCTCCCTGGGGGCGTGGTTGGGATTCGATGGTTCACTACGGTTGTGTAGTGCGATTCTGGCCGGACATGGTTAGGGGTAACCCAGTGACACCAGCACTGATTGGACTGCTCTTCACCAATCAGAAGCTCAGTGCCCAGTGGGCCACTGTTTCAACTTGGAATCATGTTGTGCACTATAGTCAAATGTACTGTAAAGTGAAAAGGGATGTGCAAAAAAAAATTATAATAATAACAAGGCAAAACCTGCAACTAGCAAAGGGGGAATGAATGGGAATGAGTCAACTTCTTTTCTTGTGGACAAGTGTGCACCTAGCAGCTAGTAAGACTAGCCTCAACAGGATGCTCATAGCTTAATAATAAAGCTGTGCAAAGGCCATGAATGAATGACCGTTCTGTTTCTTTCACTGATACACACATTACCTCATTAACAACTCATAAGTAAGTGCAACGTGTGCTGACTCTTGGAAAGCCGCAAAATTAGGGGCCGAAGAAAGGAATTCTCAGAGCCAGCGGTAACCCAGTAAGGAATTATGAAGCTATGGGGTGGGGTTGGTTTTGTTTGTCTTGGGCAGTGTTAAGAACCTTATTCTGGAACATCAGAATGCCTCCCTTAAACCAATCCCAGCAGAGCGCAGCTCAGGTTGCTGCAGTATTGTAATTATAATGGAGTGTACTTAAGTTATGGATGTAGAGAATACATTTCATGCCTTCATTCAGCATGTAAATAAAATTGATCCTCTTGAGTTATCCTAATTGCAGTTGAACTATTTTCCCCTGGTTACTTTTTCTACCTTCATGACGCACCTCTGTGCACATTGAAAAGTATAGCAGTCTGTGTAAATGTAATCCTCAGAGAGGCTTCTCCGTGCTGGGGCCGTAAGATTGTATTTGCCCTTGTTAATGAGGTTTTCGGTTCAGTGGCTTCAACTTTTTTTCCCCCCTTCTCCTTTTTGTACATTTATTTCTGAAGATTTACTTCTTCAAGTTTGAATCTTCTAGTGCTGTTGTAAGTCCACTTTAATTTCTGGAGTTGCTTTGTAGTTACATGCTGTTTAACTTTAGGGAATCTCTTAGCATTGTAAGAATAAACAGGCTAGTAAGATCAGGCCGGGGCACAGACTGGCCGTCAACGTGATTTCATGGCAAAGTCTTTTAGAATCGGCAAGTTTCTGCTTTGCTAAATAAGAACTCTTCAATGAACACCACTCCGTAAATTTTGGAAATGCCACCTAATTTATAAAAATCAATAAAAAAGGTTTTGGTAAAACTTTTTTCATGCCAGATGCTGTTTACAACAATGAACATGCCAATGAAACATTTGTTGATTCTGTTGTGTTATTTTAGTCATTAAACATTTTTGGATGGAGAATCCGGGTTAAAGATAGATGTGTTTTCTTTCACTCTAGCCATTTGTAACATGTATTGATTAGTAGCTCATTTCTATTAATGGTATGTTTATAGTAAAGTTCCCATAATAGAAATGAAAAGATATTGCTGTATAACTGTTGGAGACCTTGTCAATATGTCAAAATCAAATTCTTATCCTTTTCAGAAAGATATAATTAGAAAATAGTACTAACATATATTGGCTCTGTGGTTTGCATATAATGATTGAGAATCCTATCATGTCTTAAAGTCTCATGGAATCCATGGGAGGTGGGGGAGGGTAGGGGAGTTTTCTAAGGTATTTTTCTGGCCAGTTTTTATTCCATGTAAAATACGTAGCCATCTGTTAAATTTGGTTGAGGGACTGTTCTGAGCTTGCACGGGGGCCTTGGTGGTGGTCTCGGAGGGAAACTCCAGGCATTTGTGAGGAATTGTCTTTCGCATCACTTGGGTTTTCTGATGTAACAGGACAGCTGCGTGGTTCTGATATAGGCCTGCTTTCTTGACACACAGGCTGTCCGCTCACAGCACCTGGCTCCCTGCCTAGCAGAGGAGCCCAGCTTGTCAACAAACCAGGCTCCTGGGTGTTTTGGTTTGATTTGGTGTTGTGGTGGTCCTCTGCCAGTAAAATGGTGAAATTCTCCTTGCGACTACTCCCCATTCTGTGCCTTCTGCCCTCCGCTTGTATTTGTATTTGTTTGTGTGTTCTGTTTTGAATTGCTGCTTCTAATTGCCAGCATATTACAAAGTCCAAGTAGAGGAAGAGGAGACCCGTTTAAAAAAAGCCTCTTGCTTCCCAGGCTGTGGAGGCGTGAAAGCACAAGGCTGTGCGCTTCGTGTGTCAGGAAAGGGAGTGGCGAGACTCAGCAAAGCTGCATTGTGGAGAGGCTACCTGGGTAGCATCAGAGAAGCAAGGGGGCCATCAATAAGCCAAGAGGGTGGGTCCACTGGAGCACGGGGCAGTGGGCCTGGTGTCCCATCTCAAGGTGCAGGCGGGCCATGGGCATGGCGGCCTGACCCCGTGCCCCACAGCTCCTGTGGTGGATTTAAAGAGCTCCCACTGTGAGGCAGATGTCCTTGTGCCCACCACGCACACCCTGTGAGAACCAAGCTCCCACATCTCCCAGCGAGGGGCGCACACTGACCAGAGAAGCGAAACTGGTTTCTGGGCTATACCAGGTGTACCTGACCTGCGGGGCTTGTTTGTTGAGGGACCTTGGTAAGAGCTAGTTATCGAGATACAAAGGGTAAAGGAGCCCTACACTGGACTCTGGATGGTGAGTGCTTCTATGACGTCATTTCTTCTGTGATGTACTGCACGATTCTGAGCAAGGGGGCGTGAACTTGTATTGATGAGAAAAGAGTCGAACGGAATAACTTGGTTTTCTGCAGCACTGTTAACACATGGTATTGTTTGACTCTGTAGGCCAAGAGCAGGAGAGGTCGATTGTCAGACAATGTTGATCTAGATGAAATCAGGGCGCAGCACCACAGTGTTGTGACTAAGCCTGGAAGTGACCTATGAATGTACGGAATACAATAAAGTCTTTTATTCTGGTTCATGGACTAGTATTTAAATGTCTCCTTTTCTACTGGAAGCTGTAGTTCTTCCTCTGAATTTTGTGTGTCTGTTCAGTATCAAGGCGCTAACCAACTGCTTTTACACTTGTACTGTGCAAATTATACCGCAGTATACATGGAATAGAAGATGATCTGAAATAGCAACTTTTTGCTAAATAAAACTATTCCATCTAAAGAAATGTGTAATTTTTGAAAATCCCAGCATTTTGGTCACTGGTGTGCATGCAACAAAAGCTTTATAAGAAGACCAGTAATTCTGGAATCAAATGCAAAATGGTGTGTGTTATTTTCCGTGAAGTTTAGTAAATCTGTCTCGGATTATCAGTGGCATTTATGGCTAGACTAGTGTACCAGAAATCGGTTGGCTCCCCTTCGGTATTGTTATGTGGGGAAGAAGTGGGGTGTGATCATTTGGCTCGCTGCAGTGTTCATTTCAAAACGACTCAGAACTCGAGTGCAGACAACATTGAACATGCATGAAGCCACTCGTGACTATTTAGAAAGTGCCGCAATCCCTAGGGCCAAGGTGGGGTGGCTAGAAAAGAATGTTCTCGCCTGTGACAACACTGTCCTCTGCCCAGCCCCCCTCCAGCTAATCTATACTAGAGAAAATGGTCCTCTGATGCTTAACCCCAAATCAGACCCATTGTCATTTGATCAATTCCATAACGACCCCATATAAAGTTCGGAGGCTTTGGGAATCTATAGGAACAGATAGCCTTGTCTTTCTCCCTCCAAGAGCCTGGTGCATTGGAATCACCAATCTTGCAGTTAGCTATTCGATGCTTACCTGACAGGACCATAGAATTCACCAGTCCATGAGTTGTTACTGGGCCCTTAAACCTTTCATAAAGGTGGGGACCAAGCCCCCCCCCCTTCCTTTTGTTTCCTGTGCTCCCAAGCACAGAAGGCACATTTAATTTGGAGTGTTTTAAAACAATGCTTTAAGTAGCTCTTCTAAAAAGAGTTACCAACTTGGTTGAGATGTAAACATGCAGTGGTCTTTTCCCCACTAACTGCCAAGTGCAGCCCCCACTGGGGGCTCATCAAGCACTCAGCGCTTGAGCACAGTCGTTTCATTCCAAACTCTCCCCACAGTACCAGTTCGGTGTGTGCACTTCAGGTGGGCTCAAGTGCTCTGGCTCTCCCTGCCTCCTCCTCCTCCTCCTCCATCAGTCCTATCCGTGGTATAAGAAATGAGAAGAAGGGGAAACAGTGACTTGCGTGGTAGTGGTGACTTTACTGCCCTCTTTCACCTGGTGACCATTGTAGACCAAAATAGATTGCCCACGAGTCCTGCCACTAAGACCCTGAGAGCACCGATGGTCCCTTGTATCCTTTGCGCAATTTCTCGCTGGCAGAAACACCACATGCCTCCTACACGTGGCCCACTTTGTCACATGCTGCCCCAGCAAGCCTTCAGCCACCAGGTTTGTCTCCATGCTTTTATCTCTGAGGACGTGGGTACTGCCAGAACACATCTCGGCCTTGCAGGAGCCACTTGGGGCTCAGAGGTGTGGTCTTTTCCCCACTGGCCACTCTTAACAGCCTTGAGAGTTCTTGTAGCTTCAGTCAAGGGAGCATGACAGGCAACCCAAGCCAAACTCCCCACCAGTGAGTTGATGTCCATTCATAGCAAGACGACATACAGGACCGGGTAGCACTGCCAGTTCCAGAGACTAACTCTACCGGAGTTGAAAGCCCCGGCTTTCTCCCGAGGAGCTGCTAGTGGTTTCAAACTGTGGACCTCGTGGGTTGCTGCCCAAGACGCAACCACTATGCCACTAGAGCTCCTAACATGACAGGTAAGACGGCAATATCCATATCCCAAACACTACAGCTTCCCAAGTGGTTTTCCAACAGCCCCATCCCACCTCCAGGTTTCTCTGCGTGGGGGGTGGCGCTGCTGCTGCTTTTGGGGGCAGTAATCGCATGTTACCCTTATAACCCTGGTCCAGTGATGGAGAGGTCGTTTCAGTAGCATTTTCTTGGCTATGTAGAAGGGGGTCTAAAGACCATAGCAAGACGTAATACTCCTTTCCTCTTTCTCCTCATCCACAGCAGCCCCTGCTCCTCGCCCACTCACCCTTGTGTCCTGCTTCCCTTTCTTCCAACTTCGGGTCTGAGTCTAAAGAGCCAATTGACTAGGATAGGATCCTCCCTGGCCTGGCTGGGGTGGGGCACGAAGTGTTGGTGTCCGGTAGAGCACTTAGCAGCAGGCATAGGAAAGGCTGGGAAACTCGGCAGGAATCATTTGGGACCCAGTGCATGCCTCTTTCTGTTCATTCAGTGCCAGGCTGTGGGCAGGCCGGCCAGCCAGCCATTCTTGTCTGTGCAGATGGTTTAGGAACCGACTCGGAGCCTGTGCTACACACGTGGACGTTTCCCTTTCTAGCCCGCTCCGTCACAGGATAGGAAGCTCAGTGGGCTAGGCTGGATAGAGCTGTGCACTGTCCTCCCTTGGGCTGTTCATCTCGCAGATTGATTCTGTGCCCGTGAGGGATGTTTGGGCTCCAAAGCTAGAAAGGCTGGCGGGGGCTTTATGGTTTTCTTCTGAAAAGGAGCCGAGATGGGGTTGATACCAGGATCGGTTTCCTCCTCAAAGTCATCCAGGACCTACATTCTTATCCTTCTACGGAGGCAGAACAATGGGCCTCCAAAGGTGTCCATCCTAATTCTCAGATCCATGACTATTGACTTTACAAAAGGGTCCTTGCAGGTATACTAAGGACCTGGACATGGGAAAGGATCCACATTAACCAGTGGGCCCGTAAACCCTTGAGAACCCGTCCCAGCTGTAAAGGGCCAGATGACAGCATGAGAAGGGTGGTGCCGTGGGGGGGACACAATTGCACCAGGCAATGAATCTGAATAACCTGTGTGTGTGTGTGTGTGTGTGTTGGGGTTCTGAGAACCTGTCCCAGCTGTAAAGGGCCAGATGACAGCATGAGAAGGGTGCTGCTTAGTTTGTGTGTGTGGTGGTGGGGGGCACACAATTGCACCAGGCAATGAATCTGAATAACCTCTAGAAACGGAAAGGAAGGAAGGCCATGGATTCTCCTCTGGAGCGTCCAGACAGGACTATATCCCTGCTGACTCTGATTTTAGTCCGATGAAATCCTTGTTGAACTTCCAACGTACAGAATTGCAATCCAGTAGCAAGGGGTTAAGCCTTCACGTTTCTGGCAACTGGTTACAGCAGCTATAGGAAACCAATACATCTTCCTATTGCCAATCTGACAGGCTATACCTGCCGCGCACCTTGTGAGATTCCTGTCCTTGAAGGCCAAAAACAAGGGCCAGGGGGCTGCAGCGAAGGGGTTTCCTTCGTGTCTGCCTCTTTCAGGCTGGGAAAGTTTCCTTTCCAGAGACCTCTTGGCAGTCTTCCCCTTACATCCCAGCCAGAACTGGGTCATGGAGCCCTCGGGGCTGGGAGGGAGGCTGGGGAAGCAAGTGTCTGGCCTTCCCCGCCTGTGGTGGGAGAGGAGCTGTTGTGGAATTCTGAGTCTGGAGGAGGGAAAACAGCCCAGCAAGATGAAATACCAAACTCCACCTCGAACCTTTAACTCAACGCAGTTCTTCGGGAATGGAGTGCAGAGATGTAGGAAGCAGCTGCTACATCTGGATTTCTGCAAAGCCTCTCCAATTTCCCTTTGTCTCTGGCTATGGGGTAAGATTGAGGCTGGGTAAGATAAGTTATCTGTGGGAAGGACCTAGCTTTGTTCCTCACCATTGATCGCCTTCCTGCACTTAGCCAGACACCACAGTAGTTTCTCGCCACATTTTTGTTGGATGAAGTAATTTTTAGCCTCTGTACACTTCCCTCAATTTAATGTGTCCTCCCAAACCAGAAAAGCACTGTCATTAGGTCAATTCTGACTCAGTGCCCCTATAGGGCAGTGTAAGCCCGCCCCATCGGGTCTCCAAAGCTGTAAATCTGGACAAGCCAACTGCCGTATCGTTCTCCCAGCTTGTCCTCCAGTTAAACCGTTCCTATGTTCTCTCCCGATTCCCTCCCTCCTTCCCTTTAGGACCCAGAATGCCTTTCCCTGTACCCCTGGTCTCCTGATAAACTCCTGTCCTCCAAGAGCCAGTGACCATGCCAGTGCCCCTTAGCCCTGGGTTCCTTCCAGACTCTCCCCATCCCCGTTGTTTGTACTGGGTTGGTTTGGCATGGCTACATCGCCACCATTTGACCTTGAGTGCTTTTAGGGCAGGGATGTTTCTAGAAAGGTTCTCAGGACCAGAGTGTATCCCAGTGCCTGGCTCTGAACAGGCTCGCTGTGCATATTTGTTAAGTGGATTAAAGAAATAGGGAGGTAGTTTGGCCCAGGTGTTTTGATTTGGGGTGGTGAAAAGTTTCATTTGATAAACAGAAATCCCAGTTAATTGGCCCAGTCGTTTCTGTTTCGTAGCATTTTATGGCAGCAGAGGCAGGAGAGTCAGGAGGGGGAGGGAATGGAAGTCTCCAAGAACAACTGACAGACCAGAAGAACTGAAGGGTGCCCTGCCGCCGGGACAGAATGTGTCGGTGGGAATTCTAGAGATTCCTGATCAAGGGGGAGACAATCAGGACAGGATTCCAAACTCCCCTGAAATCAAGGTCTTCTGGAGCTGTGGAGCCTAGCCAGACCCCTGCAACGATTGCCCTGTGACCATCTTTAAACCTGAAACAAAAATGAACCCAACGTCGTCTGAAAACCAAGTGGCCTTTTGCTAACTAGCAAGGCATGTCTGCGGCTCTTGTCAGATCTGCAGGGGCTCCAACTGCTCCCAGCAAGGGGCAAGTTCAGGCAGAAAGTTGGGGGCAGTGAGTGTGTGGGCGCAAAGGGAGGGGGGGCTCAGCTTAGGGAAGGGGTGGGGTGGCTGCACAGCCTGAGGATATCGGCAGGAGCTACTTCGTGCACATGGAGACCCTGGGGTCGGTGGGTGTTCTGTGTTCAGGTTCAGTGACAAAAAGGAAGGGGCTTTTCAAAGTTGTCCATCTTTCAAGCACTAACCGGATGCTGCTGGTCTGCCTGCCAGCTCTAGCCCCTCCTCCTCCTGGCCCCCATGTCTTGTCAGGTAAACGGTGAAACTACTCAGGGAGCCTAACGCCAAGGAAAAGAGGTAGCAGATGAGTGGCTCTCAATCTGTGGGTTGCAACCCCTTTGGGGGTCGAATGACCCTTTCCCAGGGGTCGCCTGATTCATAACAGTAGCAAAATTAGTTATGAAGTAGCAACGAAAATAATTTTATGGTTGGGGGTCGTCGCGGCATCAAGAAGGCTGAGGACCACGGCAGTAGTGGTAGTGTAGCTGTGGGATTATGGCCCTTTATGGTCTTCCTGGGTATACATTTGATTAAAGAGTA